ATGACACCTCGCAGCCAGGTTATGTCATTCTAGTTTAAAGATTGGTAAGGTACACCGTTATCTACACTACGTTCCTGGGGGCGGTTTACGAACTCTCGATTCGAACCGAAAACGCCATGTTACACCGAAATTTTGATTTCGAACGTACTCCATGCGAATGCATTTCCACAAAAGTCACTCGACCGGTCGATGCGTATTCACTTTCGCATCGAGTGTCCGTTCCGAGTCGTGTTTTTGCAATCCTCCCACTAGTTTCTGTACTCCTGTACTGTAACAATCTGGGAGCATTCGACTTTTCGTCTTCGATAAGTACTCCTGGATTGTTTGGAGCGATGGGCACTTTCCTATTGTGTATTTTTCAGGACAAATTATTCCCTAGATCTAACTATGTTTGGGAATCTTGGGATGAATAGGGTGTAGATATTTAGTATTTACGGGTGGGAGGGTTTGATCTATTCGGACGAAGTGCAGGAGCATATAATTAAAATCGAACTTCAGGTAAGTTCGTTTGATTTTATAATTATATGCTCCTGCACTTCGTCCTCTAGATCAATAATATTCACTTGTAGCTGTTTAAAGCTTTTTGTACTGGAAAATATATTTATTGTTCAACTGCTTAATATGATCTCAGTTGACATTCGACAAAATGGTTCTAGCAAATAAGAATTTATCCTCCAGAGGCCGATTGTAGAAGGACGCAAAGGTCTTGGAATTTTTCGTCCAACCAGCTGAGGTTCTTATGGTATCGAAGGATATTCCTTGTTTCCAGGCCTTTGATGTGGATGAGTGCCTGGTTGAATGCGGCTTGAAGATTTGTGTATCTATCCCCGCCTTCTCCATTATTATTTTAATCCAGTTGGATAGGGTCTGTTTGCTCAGTTGTCTGTATGGCTCTTTGTTAGAAATAAACAGGTATTGTATATTTCCCTGAATGCATGCTGTCCTTTCTACATAATTCAGGATTGCCGAAGCTACACACAATGCTGGGTTGTTCTTGTAGAATGGTAGCATAAGGCAAGGTTGTGCCTTCCCTGGTTTTGAGGTTTTCAAAGTTTCAGGTATAATGATTTGTAAGCCTTCAAGAGTTGCCACGATGTTTTCAACTTTTACGAGAGATATGGTTTGTAATCTCTGTCCTGTGACGAGGGCAAGCAGTGTTATAACTTTCATGCCGAGTTGTTTCATGTTTAACTTCTCGTTAATAGGGCTATTCAATTCTATATAATCCAAAACTGTTTTTGGGTCCCATGTAGTCTCATACTTAGGTTTACTTGGTCTGGATTTTGATATACCCCTTAAAAATCTTCTTATTATCAAGTTTTTTCCTATCTCCCCTGGGAGGACCAGGGACAAGGCTGACCTGCAGGAGTTGAAGGTCCCATACTTCCACTGCTTTTTGACCTTCATATCCTGTAAGAATTGTAAAACCTCTGTCACACCGGCGGTATATGGATTTATCTGACGCTGCAGACAGAATATCCACCACTCCTTATAAGCTGACTCGTATTGCTGTAGAGTATTTTTCGACAGAGAGTCCATACAAGTTTCGATGGTGTCTTGTGGAATGTTGTTTATTTTAAATGCCTCGCAGACAAATTGGCGGCCACCAGGGAAAGGGTTTCCGACAAGGGGTGATGTTGCCTGAAAGGGGAAGACACTAAATTAGGATCTGGATTAAATTTTATAGATTTTCCCTTCACCATTTTTTGATAAAGGGGGTACCAGGGCTGAGAGTTCCAGTCTGGTAAGACTACTATGCCCTCTGCTTTATCTTGTATGATTTTGTTCAACACTTTGAGTATCATAGAAAATGGGGGGAACGCATAAAATTTCAGGGAAGTCCATGATTACGTGAAAGCATCAATAGCTTCACAGCCTGGATCATTATGCCAAGAAACGTATCTACTACACTTTGTATTAGCTCTAGACGCGAAAAGATCAATTTGTGGTTGGTCAAAAACAGAAATAATCTTTTCAAATGCTTTACTTGACAGTTCCCATTCAGTTTCCTCAGACATTATTCTAGAGTGTTTATCTGCAATATTGTCTTTGGATTTGATGTAAGATGCAATCAGCCATACGTTTCTTTTTTCACACCATTGCCATATGTCTTTGGCTATGGCATTAAGGGTTTGATATTGTACACTCCCCATTTTATTAATGCACGCTACTGCTGTAGTGTTGTCTACTCTGAGGAGGATCGTGGTAGATTTAAGTCCTCCTGCTAGACATTTTAGCGCAAAATAAACGGCTTTTAACTCCAAGATATTGATATGTAGATTGACTTCCTTACTATTCCACCACCCATAAACCTCTTTCTCATTGCATACTGCCCCCCAACCAGTTTTACTAGCATCTGTATATATTTCTAGATTAGGGGTTTCTAGACATATGTCTCTATAAGTAAATGGTAGATTCTTTTCCCACCAGGTTAACTCTATTTTAAGTTCCCCAGAAATAAGTGTTTTACATTCATAATCACCCTCTGATAATTTTAATGCAAGGAATTTTTCGTGCTCTATTGTTTTTGTGTATAATTTCCCGTACTTTACTGCCGGGCATATTGATATCAGTATGCCTGCTACATGGGCAAGAAACCTTATTTTACACTCTTTACTGCTTTTGAGTTTCGATAATGACTTTTTTACTTTGATGATTTTGTCTTCAGGAAGTTTTATAATCATATTCTTTGTATCATAAATAAAACCTAGATACAGACAGCGGGTGTGCGGTTCTAGGCAACACTTTTCAAAATTTATCAGAAAACCTAAGGACTGCAGTGTTTCCACCACAAATTTTGTATTTTTATTTGCAAGGATTAGAGAATCATGAATTAAAAACCAATCATCAATGTAGGCCACACATAAAATGCCCTTGTTCCTAAAATGGCCAAGTACTGGACGTATTATTTTTGTAAACAAAAACGGGGCGTATGAAATTCCAAAGGGCAAAACTTGGAATTCAAAAAGCTGATTATCAAATTGAAATCTAAGGTATTTTTTAGAATTTCGATTTATTGGGATTGCAAAATAAGCATCCTTTAAGTCGATTTTTGTCAGCAAATAATTTTTCTGCAGTAACTTGCAGACTGTTCTCCCATCCTCCATTTTGAAATGGGGAGGTTGTAGAAATTCATTAAGTTTTTTCAAGTTCAGTACGAATCTCTTTTTGCCATTTGGCTTATCTATTAGAAAATAAGGCGACAAAAACTGCCCTTCGCAAGGAGTACAGACTTTTATCGTGCCTTGATTTAATAGCTTAGCTATTTCAGTTTTTAAAGATTGTTTTTCAGAAAGACAAAATGTTGGCTCTTTTTTAAGGGAATTTTGTTGTGGGGGTGTTACAAAAGGTATTTCAAAACCTTTGATCCAAGATAAGACCATTTTTGACACCCCCAAAGCCTTCCATTCATTGGTGAAATAAGAGAGTCTACCCACTTCTGGAAGATGTATAAAATTACTCACCTTTACTTGCTTTTCCTCTGTGTTTTGTAGTAAGTTTTGTTTGGGTAGTTCCGAGGGTTGGATCTTGCTAAAACTTGATGCTGGGGGCGGTTCGATGGGCGATAGTCCCTCTGGCCCTGTCGAGGATTTCCCCCCGTCTTCCTCGAAGGGCCATATGCATTTAAATGATGCTGGCCATGCTGGGATTTTTTCTGTTGAAAGGTGCTATTACTTTTTACAACTGTTAAGACTTTAGCCACCTTTTCTGCAGCCTTTGCTGTTTTAATTCGTTCCCCCAAATTTTCTCCATAAAGAAAAGTATCCACAGGTGTTGTCACCGAGAGGTCAACAACCAATTTATTTAAATTTTGGTTGATAAAAGACCTACGTTGGAGAGAAAGCTTGTGCTGGAGATTTGTGTAGTGTCGTGTGGTGTCACTCAGTAACTCAATGTATTCGGCTTTGGGCACCTCTTCCCTTTCGTCATTGATTAATTTATTGACTGCATAAAGAAGGTTAGAGATGCCTTTAGCATTCTCTTCTTGAAAAGATATTTGAAATTTATCTTTGGTCAAACCCGTTGGCCCCATAGTGGCAACCACTTCTGGGTTCAATATAGGGGGGCCAATATGGACACCTTTTGGGGAAGGGTATTTATTGGCCAGTTGGTTTTGTGTCTCTTTATCCAGCCCATTTGATGCGATATAGTTAACCCTTTTTGTGAGTTGCGGGTGTAGATCAAAATAATTGATTTTACCAACCTCTGGATCTTCGCCCCAGCATTCGGGTACTTGATCCAGTGGATCATTATCGACCAGGTTTATTATTTGAGATGGAGCCGGGCTTCTCGAGCCTCGGACTCTTTTTTCAGGGGTAGCCGGACTTCTCGAGTCTCGGACTGAAAAAATGATGGGATGCCGGACTTCGGGAGTCGCGGACATTCCTATTTTGGCTCATACGTTCTACATTTTCGTTTTTAACGTTTCTGGACCTCTTCAATTCATCTAGCCGTTTTTGCATATCAGCGATTTCTTGATGGAAATCCTGAACCTCATGGCTCCTAGAGCGGTTCCTATGATGGTCCAGCATTCGTCGCTTCGGCGATCTGCTAGCTCGGCTACTTGAGGATGAAGATCTTCGATGTTTCTTGCGTCTATTTTTTCCCATTTTCGGTTGAACTACTCTAAAAAACACAGTAAAGTTGATCAAAGAAAATTTTGTTGGCGCTTCTTTGAGCATAGAAAATACGAATGACATAACCTGGCTGCGAGGTGTCATATGCCATATTAGGCATATGAACTCTTGGAACCTTATTCTCGGAAATTTCTTTAAACACTATGGCGCAGAGCAGTAGAACTTACGTACTACAAGTGAATATTATTGATCTAGAGGACGAAGTGCAGGAGCATATAATTGGTTCTAAAATCCCATATATTTATATTGAAAACGCCGCCATCTTGTTCCCAACCTCTTGTTAATTTTAAATATGAATATATGGGATTTAGGTGAACATCCATCATAAATCATGGAAAACAACGTATTTGATGGACCTAATCATGGTCATCAAATACGTCGATTTCAATTTTTTATGATAGATGTCCATTTAAATCCTATATATTAATATTTAAAAGTAACAAGAGGTTGGGAACAAGATGGCGGCGGGATCTCTATTGTCGCCACTGTATGTAAAGGTTTATTTAGCCACTGTACTCTAAATAAATGTGAACAGTGTTAAAAAGTAACGTCAACTGAATGCAACTGTATAGTGACTCCGTAGTCTATAGAAAATCGTTTCCCCCCAAGCCAATTAGTTCCAGTTTCCACTACCATTTTTACTTTATTTTTAATGAATTAAAAATAATTAAAACCAAAAAAGAAACCGTTTGCGCTATCAGTGTTAGCTTGCGAGAACGCTCGCGCAGTTCTACAATATATTTGTTCCTTGATCAACTCGTAAGACGTTCAAAAGTAAATGCAAATTTGTGTCATAAATAAATAATCAAAAATTTAATTGAGGCTTTGTTTTGATCTGGAAACTTAAATTAATCTTGTTGGCGGGTTTATTTAGAAATTTATTATGAATACAGATTCGGAAAAGGAACATTCACCTCAAAAGCAACTCAGTGTAATTGATAATAGGTCATGTACCAAGCCTGCAACCAGAGTAAGTAAACAATTACGCATTTTATTTGTTTATGTATGAAAAATTGAAAGAAATACTCGATAGACACATTAATTTTGAACAAATTTTAATGAATTCACTTGTGTTATCAAATCGGTATTTTGCGATTACCTACATTGTTTATACTTACAATATGAAGGGGAACAAATAGCATCTAGTGCACTTTGAGTAGGTATAGTCTTTTTCTCTAAATAAAAAATAGTTACAATTTTTGCACTCGCTGATGGATTTCTTAGTTCCCCTTTCTATTTCTAGTTTTATGTTATAATTATTTCTATACTTATAGTAGTTTTGTATAATTCAAATGTAGTATTTTTTATGTAGATTTATTATTTTGTTTTATTTCATTTCAGCTCACATAAATGGCTTAACAGTTTTGCATGAGTTTATTTTTTTGTTTTAAAAATTGCTGGAAGCATCAGGACAATGACCAATAATCAGGTGAGAAGCTTATTTTTTTAAATTTTTTTTATTTACTCAATTTTATAGGTATTTATAGGCACAAGAATTGCATGCAAAAATCTGTGAAAGTACCTCGAAAATTACAAAACCCACATACCTAGCATTAAATTTTTTCTGCAAATTTGCATTTTAATTAAATAGAGAACGAATTAATCCAATCATTTAGAATTTTTAATTTATTTGCCTCTGCATTATATTATTATTTTAATAATAATACTACTCATGCCTGGCAATTTAAAACTATACAAGGTGTTTGGTACATTGATAGGAAGTTTTCAATGAGTGATAGTTGGGGTCATTTGGAAGCTGTTTGACCACATTTACCCTTATGCAAAGTTTCAGCAAAGTTTCCTCATTTTTGAGATATCAGCATTTTTAGGTGTTTTTGCGAAATATTTGAATTGTTCCTAAAGCAAACACTTTAACCCAAACTTTAACCTTTCTCAATTTTTTTTTCTGATATTCCTAATATGCACTCTCTTGGAAAAATACAGAAAGAAAAACCAAATGATTGATACAAAAAATATGTAGCCCAAGTTTATTACACGACAGTATCTACAGCAAATTGCCATTTACAGACACATCTTCTAAACAATCTATCAATCAATTTATTCAAACCTTAAATCTAAAAGTACAAAATGAGTAGGGACTTAAAGCAAATCCTAAAAAATGCGTACTTATCCGTAATCGTATCGTATTGGCTTGCGTTACCAATGTGAAAACGTTATAAGCTGTTCAACTTCAGTTTTCATATCCGTATCACAGCTTTCCGTATCTTGTCCCATCATATTTTCTAACTTCAAATTTTATTTTGATACAATCATTCAAAAAGTGACGTTATTTTGATTCGAATTTATTATTGCTCTAGAATGGATAATATCGTGAATAATCCTTTTTTTGTTGATGAGGACAAGGACGACAACGATCTAAGGTCTGTTCCCACAGGAGTCTCTGACAGTTTGCAAACTATCAGTAAGCATCGCCCATATATGTTTTCAATGCAGTCGTTACAAGATAAATCTGTAACTCAGCTGAGCGATTGTTTCTGACAGGTTGCAAACTGTCAGAGACTCCTGTGGGAACAGACCTCTAGACGATCTTATTGTCATGCACATATTGAATGACAATGATTTGCTTGGTAACAGAGCTGCTCTTTATGGAATTTTTGATCTGCAATTTTTGAATAATGCCCAGTGTTTGTCAATGTTCAGATTCGAAAAAGATCACATACCAAGATTAGTCAGGGCTCTAGGACTACCCCAACAACAACAACAACAGTACAGATGGTTATTCGACAAAAAATCAAAGAAAATTGTCACTTGAATTCCTCCCTTCTCTTCTTCTCTTCAAATTTTTCCAACAGAAGACTCACCCTGTCTCTTAGGCCTTTTTCTTTAAAGTCTTTGCCGGTCGCCTTTTCAATATTTTTTTGAATAAGGCTCCACCGAGACCGATTTTCAAAAAGGTTTAGACCCACTACCTCCCTGAGCAGAAGCAGGTCATCGTCCGCTGTATAAAACAATCTTTTTCTTTTATCCATCGCGAAACTGAACAGTGAACGAACAGCAAAGCAAATTCATAAACAATCTAAGAAATAAGAATTGGCTACGTTCACCAGAACCAAAACGGATTGTAAACAGTTTACAAATACCAACAGAATATGTTGGGTAAACTCTTGGTTCTGCTGAACGATTCAACTTTTCAATGATAGAACGTCACCTTCTGAATTACAGGTCACCACACAAAACACAGTGTTGAAAATTATAAACACTCTGAAATTTTGCTTGCAAAAATGGCAACCGTTTGCAAAATATGTTTGGTTTTAACACAAATCCAACGTAGCGTTCAGCAGAACAATCGCAAACCGTTTACCAACGTTTGTATCTGGTGAACGCGGCCAAAAAACAATTTTTTCAGGTTATATATTTTTATTCTATCGCGAATGGTAAACTATCATTTAATCGACTCAAAACTCGTTGTTAAAGTAACACTTTATTTGAAGTAGTGAAATCGAACAATTTTTACCCACTCATTTGTCAATTTTACCCACTCATTTGTCAATTTTACCCACTCATACGTCACTTTTACCCACTTTTTCAAATCTTTTATAATAATTATAATGTTTTTGACAGAAAACTGGTTATGTTGCATGATTGACAACACCAGAAATGTGTCAGTTTGTTAGGTACTTTGTCAACTTGTCATAATCTATGTAAAATTTTAGCATATTTCAGTTTATGATTTTAGTAATTATGATAAATAATAAGTTGCTCAAGAATAAAATAGAATATTACACACGATGGTAAAAAAGCTTTACCTGTTTGTGGAATTAATCCACTCGCTCCTTCGTCGCTCGTGAATCAACATTTTCCACTCACAGGTAAAGCATCTTTTTACCGTCTTGTATAATAATAGTAGATTATACCACGAGTCAATAATGATAGCTATTATTCCCAAGGAATTTTTACGAACTGAGCCGCGTCAGCGGCGAGGGAGTAACATTCCGAAGGAATAATAGCCATTATTGCGAGTAGTATACTCTACTTTATTTACGACAAATTAATTTATTTGAAATTTTCTTTTTAAAAACGCTCGTTGTTCATCCATCTCAATACAAATACACAAGCACTACGCGTTTGACACTGTCACTTTTGAGTTTATTCATATTGTTTCCATGGTCTTATACTTGTTTTAATATGAGAAACGTTGTGATTGGTGTGCAAGCGGGAATAATGACCATTAATCCCTGCGGGAATAATATATGGCATTATATTACCAAAATCACAAGAATAATGTTTACATTATATATTAGTCGTAAATAAATAACTATTATCGCATTTTTGACAGTAATGTGATACATAACTGCATTCAAAATTGAGTGGTAAAGTGCCACTTTACCTGGATAGCAACACTTTACCACATAGCAACGTCATTGATAGCAACCATTTTGTAAATCAATTTTCATTTGTTAAGCCTTATTCATAGTGTGCGAAATTGCAGCATTTCGCAATTTCACGCCAATCAAATAAATTAAAAATAGGAAATAGTTATTTTATTTCTGGTTATTATAAAAATTGATAATATAATTATTAACTTCTATTTTTTGCGCTTGCCGAATAGACGAATCGGAATGTTGATCCAGGACAACCCCGCCTGAAACCATAAAAAGCGAACGTTCTTTAAAGTGTCGTGTAGAAGAACCTTAAACCTTGACAATGTCAATGTCATGAAAACTAAATTTATATTTCAAATTTCTATCAAAATTTAGGAAAAAATATCTTATGAACACAGGATATGAAACAGTTATATTTAATTGATTTACCTTTTCATAAAAAAAAGCCAACATGAGGTCCTCATTTGCCACTTCTTCCACGTTATTCATTAATTTCCATTGACGGAATTGGTCATATTCTTTCTCATACTTTGATTTTGATTTCTCAGGCAGCAGTCTTGCTGTAGCAGCACGAGCTGCTTCCAAAATCTTCGGATTCATTTCACTGGACGCCATAGACTGGACGCGGTTCCGAAAATTCTTTTTGAATTTTTGTTTGAATAATGTCACTGGTTTCTAAGTTACCGAAAAGAAAAACCAGCCAGGCATGGGCCACCAGGCACAGGTCTGTTATGATTTCAAAAATTATGTTGTCTTGTCAAAAATAAGAACATTTCTCAATTATTTGAAGACAAAATGCGATAATAGTTATTAATGATACAAGTTCGATATGAACGCCATAATAAAACGCGTGTAACGTTAAACCACGAGGCGTTAGCCGAGTGGTTTAGTTACACAAGTTTCATTAATAAAGTTCATATCGAACGTGTATCATTCAAAATTTAATCTACAATGGTCCAAATAGATTTGATTTGCCTTGAAATAGCAAAAACTTTTCAAATTAAAATTTGAAATTTAGTAGGTGCCCGTACTAGTCGAGAACCTGCTTGTTGGTTTTTAGAATTTTGACTTTGGCAGCTTCAATATTGGGGTCCATTTTTGTGCCATAAATTCAATTTTATAGTGGAAAATAATATTATTATTGGTGATTCTGAGTTTGAAAGTGTCTCTTCGAATATAGAGACAGCATTATTGAAAAGGTTTTTCTGGCAACTAACTTTCTTTTTGTATATTTTTCATTTCAAAATTTGGGTGTTATTATGAATTCTTAAACGCACTAGTGCTATTATGAAGGACCTAATGACATTCAAATGACAATGCTAAATGTGTCATAATGACACCGACGTAGATTAAATAATATAAGCAACGCATTTGCAAAGGGTTTTATTTTTAACCCTATATGAAATGTTGTCATTACTGACTTTTCAAAAATTTGAAAATGTCACATTTCTGTCTTTTCATTTTCCTGCTCCATTACCTGTCCCAGGACGGGAAGTGAGGACGGGAAATTTTTTCCGTCCACGGACGGAAAATGGAGCAGGGAAATATTTCCCGTTCTCATTTTCCTCTTCTTTTGCCGACCTCTTTTGGTTGCCCCGAATATTTTTTTTTTCAAGAAATTATGGTT